CACTGACTACAAAAGTAATATAGAACTTACAGACATGACTGCATTCTGACACCAATTCTCTGGTATCAAGTGTGCATCCTACAATTGAGTTCAATTGTGACGCTAACTACCCGAAGTTGGCAAAGACTCCACAAGTTAAGGCGCTCAGTCCCAGAAGACTGTGCCCAATTTAAACACCAACCATAAGGCCTAGGTGCCCTCAAGCCAACTGCATTCTTACCCAGCCAGCTACATATATAGGGCTTCCCAAAAACCCTCAGATTCAATAATTAGCTGAAATAAATCACAGAACAACAAAAGCACTATACATATGATTTGAAGAATACAAATGAACAGTAGATGAAAAAGTATGTGGGGGAAAGTCTTAAAGGGTCTCCCAAACACACGAACTTCCATGACTGTGATGTTGGGGTGCCCCATTGTCTCAGGATGTCAACATGTTCACCAACCAGGAAGCAATCCAAGCCTCATTTTTCAGAGTTTTTATTCAGGCTTCATTATGCAGGGAAGATTAACTAAATCGTTAGTTATGTGCTGAAACTCAGCCCCTAGCCCTTCTCCCCTCCCTAGAGTTGAGGGTAAAGGCTAAAAGTTTCAACCTTTTAATCAGAGCTTCCTTTTTCTGGTGCCCACCTCAGCCTATAGAGGTGCCCCTCCATAAGTCCCTTTGTTGCCATAGCATCTAGTATGGTTGAAAAGTATGAATAACAAAAAACACTCCTATCACACAGAAAATTACAAGGAGTTTTGAAGGTCTGAGTCAGAAACCAGGGACAAAGACCAAGTATTTATTTTTATTGTACCACCTAGTCATCTCAGATTTTCATTATTTTGCTTCTTACATCGGGTGTAATTATCATATGATTGTATATTGTGATTATGATCATCATTTGGGAATGGTGATCACTCAAAAGCAAATTTAAAGAAAGCAGTCTTGAAGCAAATTGTGCACAGATATACACATTAATAAAAGGCTTTGTGAAATACATCAAAGCAAGAGAAAAGAAATAAGCCTTTGGAAGAAAATGAGACAAACATTTCCCTTTTATTCTATTGTTGTTTTCTTCTTTTCCATTTCTTTTTCTCCTTGCCTTCTCCATCTCTATGTAGCTCTTCTACTGTTGCCTGTTACACTTGTTACACCTACTTTGTTAGGAGAAGTGTCAATGACATTCAAATACGAAAAGCATCACTGAGAAAATTGTAATGGTGATGTGAATATCCAAGACAAGGATAACATAAAAAAAATCAGCAAAAAAGTGGACAAAACATAAACGAAAAGTCAGATGAAAAAGAAAATGGGCACAAATACTGTTACCAAGATGGCAGAATAGAAGGTAACCTGCTCATTTCTCCCCAAAACAACAAAATGTTCAACATTACTAATCATGAGGGAAATGTAAATCAAGGCCACAATGAGACATCATCTCACCCCAGTTAGAATGCCTATTATCAAAATATCAAAAAGACAAAACATAACAAATGCTGGCAAGGATGCAGAGAAATGGGAACCCTTATGACTGTATAAGAATGCAGAGTGGTACAGCAATTATGGACAGCAATATGAAGATTTTTCAAAAAACTAATAGAACTGCCACATGATCCAGCAATCCCACTGCTGGGTATACATCCAAAAGAAAGAAAATTAGTATTTCAGAGAGGTATCTACAATTCCATGTTTATAACAGCATCATTTAGAACAGCCAAGATATGGAATTCACCTAAGTGTTTATCAACAGATGACTGGCTAAAGAAAATGTGATATGTATACACAACAGAATATTATGGATCTGCAAAAATAATGATATCGTGTTATTTGCAGCAATGTGTATCATTTCTCTTAACATAATAGTCATTATGTTAAGAAAAATAAGTCAGGCACAGAAAGACAAATATATTCTGAAAAACCTTTAGTCTTTGTAAGTTTTCATAAGCATGAAAATCTTCAAACTTTCTCAAACTTGCATAAGCAAATAGTAGACTACAAAAATTACACAGGCTGCAAGGAGGGTATGTTTCTGAAGTCACATAGGTAATGATGGCTTGAGAAGAAGCTTGAGTGGAAAGACAGGGACGACAGAAGACAGTGGAAAAGGGAGTTCCTCAAGATAGCAAGGAATAATCAATGAATTTCACAATATTTTTTCATGTTGTTGTTATGAACTAGTTATCCTTCCACGTTTTTAGCTCTTTCCATTTCTCATTGAAAGACAGTGTTGTGGTGATGGGATTCAGGATATGCTACTCCAAAATATGTCAGCTTGACATGTGAGAAAATAGCAGCAGCAGGATGGACTCTCTAACCTTCTCTCACCCCTCCTTCCCTGAAGCAGGCCATAAAACTTAGCTGACTTCCACTGAAAGTAGGTCATCAGATCCTCATTCCAGAGGGTTCCCCCTCTACTCAGAGGAGGGCAATGTCCTCATATCTGAAGACAAAGAGACGCCAAGAAGATCTGAAAAATAGGCCTTGCTAAGTCACCTCCCTAAATTATGTCCAATCATAATGCTGTACAGCTGTCCATGCCTAGATATATAAATACACAGATTTCCCTGTTTCTTTGAGTCTTTGTTTCTGAAGACATCTGTCACATATTATTTATGTTCAATAAATGTGTTATATTTCTCTCTTGTTAATCTGTTTTTTGTTATAGGGGCCTCTGCCCCTATAATAATGGGTAAGAATTTTTTTCTCCCTATTGGAGCTCAGAAACTAATACCCCAAAATATAGTGCCTTGACATGCTGAACAGAATAAGAAGCCTCTCAAGATCTCTCTGACTCCCCACCGCCCTACAACCTCCTCTCAATCCTTTCTCTCCCAAAGCACTGGATGAAGTTGTTCTCTGCAGTTCCCTTATTGGCCTAAAGTCTGGACCTGCCAAAGAAGAAAACAATTACTCTGGTCTCTTCCTTGAGTTTTAATTAACTGAACTCACATCACAGGAAGCAAGATTGAAGTCTGTCAACACATCTGAACAGACTTTTGTCACAAACCATTGTCTGCTCTGTAGGCCCAACAGATTTTGTCCCAGGCCATATTATATGTTCCTCAAGTCTACTGAATTTTCCTGAAGATCATTTACTATGTGTCCCCACCAAATCATTCATACCTCTCATCTCCCTTTCTTCTAGGAAAAAAGTATATAACCATGTGCACCCCACTGCATGGTGGGGCAATTACTTGGTGATTCTCCCGCATGGGTGCTAATAAATTTGCATGCCACTTCTGCTATTAATCTGCCTTTTGTGAGTTTCAGTAAACCTTTGGAGGGCAAAGGGATAATTTTATCTTCACCCCTATATCCCCTTACAGTAGATATTCTTCACTACATAGCTACTTTTAGTAAATCTTTACAGAATATTATTTCTGATACCAATAGAAACCATATATTATTATTTATTAGAATGTAAGATCTATAAGGAAAAAATCAAAGCTTAATCATCACAAAAGTAAAGTAATTGGGAATAATACAGTTTAACATTCCACACCTATCCCTATAAATCCTACCACTTCTTAAACATGAATGAAGACCACTTAGTAGCAAAAAAAGTGTGTCAGGAGCCAAGTTGTTGTTTATTTCTTATTTATTTATTTATTTATTTATTTAGAGACAGAGTCTCTCTCTGTCACCCAGGCTGGAGTGCAATAGCTCAATCTTGGCTCACTACAACTTCTGCCTCCTGGGTTCAAGCAATTCTCATGCCTCAGCCTCCTGAGTAGCTGGGACTACAGGTGCACACCACCACGCCTGGGTAATTTTTCTATTATTAGCGGAGGCGGGATTTCACCATGTTGGCCACACTGGTCTCGAACTCCTGACCTCAAGTCATCCATCTGCCTTGACCTCCCAAAGTGCTGGGATTACAGGTGTGATTCACCATACCCAGCCGGGATATAAAATCTTAATTGTGTTTCTAAAGGTGAAGGTCTCACCTCTGAAGGTGCAAGGGCATCTACTTATAGGTAGATAGAAACAATATTCATAATTGTTTGGAAGAATAAAAATCCATGTATCCCTCAGCCAACAGTAACTATAGAAAAAGCTACTGATTATTTAAATATTGGAAATA